TCACAAAACACTGAAAATAATAGCTACTTTTATGATTTCTATAATTATAGATCTGGAATGTACTTATTTTTTTCACCATTAAAACTGGAGTGATCTCTTATATCAACAACACACATTTTTGAGTGCTACTTCTATGTAATCAATTACTTATAATTATGAAGCAAAATCTGAAAATCCTAGCAAGCAAAAAGCTTAATGGAGGAATATAAAATACCTAAAAAGAAAGCAATACTCTCCTGTTGGTGATTCTAAATTTAATTCCTCCTGTTAGAAAGACAATCAATAACATCAGAAAATCCCTATTTTGAAAGAGTACAGAACACTAATCAGTATACTGTCTGACACTGAAACATATATGCCTCCTCTTTGCACAGAAATGATACTCTGTGAGTGATGAATGCGGTGTGCATTTTCTGACACGACAAATTTCATGATTTGTTTTGCTTAACTCTAATTTGTTGTGAGGGAGGCTACAATTTGTGTAAGGGTGTATGTGTCTTTGTGTGTGTATGTGTGTGTGGGTGTGTGCCTGTCTGTTTATGTGTCTGTGGAGGAGGCAAGGGGCCAGTCCAAATGACAATAAGTGATGTCAATGTAAAAAAAAATAGCGTCGAGAGAATAATAGATGACAAAAAGGCACTCTTGATATTCTTCTGGAGAAGATGAAGAAGAGAATCTTAACTTAAGGTACATAATGAAGGAGGAATCATTAGTGGTTTGATGTTAAATTTAAGGGAGGCCACTATTAGAAGGGTGCAAATATTTATGTTAAGCCTTGATGTTTACTTGTATATTTACTTTTTTTTGTTTGTTTGCTTGTTTTATTACTTTTTTTAACCTTTCCTGTGAAGTGATTTTTTTAAGGTCACATAGGTAGAATAGAGCAGCTTTTCCCAGTGTATACATTAATGAGAATTTAATCTAAATTATAATTGTAACATATTTTCTTTTAACTTTGGTGAATCAATCTATATATCTATACAAGTTTGGGAAAAGAAAATTCAGAACTAAATAATCACCAACAGATATTAAGCAAACATTTTCCTTAAGGAAAAAGGGCTTACCAATCAATGCCGATTAGCCTAGGGAATGAGGATACGGAACAAACTATATAATCTATATTTGCAAAGATTTGACAGTAAATGAGTATTTGGGCAGCTATGTGGTACAGTGGATAGAGTGCCAGGCCTGGAGTTGGAAGACTCACCTTCCTGAGTTTAAATTTGGCCTCAGACACTTATCCTGTATAGGACCCTGGGCAAATCACTTAACCCTGTTTATCTCCATTTCCTCATCTATAAAATGAGCTGGAGAAGGAAATGGTATACCACTCCAGTATCTTTACCAAGAAAACCCCAAAAGGGGATCAGTAAAAGTGGGACTTGATGGAAACTTCTGAACAACAGCAATGGATATTTAGCAAATTATAACTTGGTGGACACAATTATGCATCAAAATCTCACTCTTATTCATTAACCAATAAATGAGAAGTCTGTATATTGAAAATACAGAATGAAAATATTCTTGGGACTTCCTTCAACAAACAAACTAACTGAAATTGGTACACTGCCACAGACAGGATCATTGCCCACAATTTCCTATATATTATATTTGACCCATAAAAAAATAAAAAATAAAAATTAATAATAGCTAAACACTCTTAAAACAGTTTTAACTATTTAACTGTTGAAAGTTTAGGACAAATTGATTTTTCCATACCAATGACTCTTCTTCTCAAAACTATGTGGGATGAAAAGATTTCAGAATATGGAAACCAATTAAAAGAAACCACTCACTTATGTATCATCAAATTGTCCCACAGGTGAGTTCTGTGAGCCTATAGAAAATAAGCTGGCATCCTAATACTTTATTTTTTTTCAACTATACAATAGTACATAGAACATTAATGAATTAAGATTCTTAATAGGATTGTGACTTAGGTAGGACAGAATTCAATGTAAAATGATAATGAAAGTAACAGTGGTGATGAACATAATGCCTTGCATTAGCGTGCCAATTTTTACATTTTTCAAAATGTTTTAGATGCACTATATCAATTAATCATCATAATAAGATCTAAATCTAAAAACAGTTTCCATTTTATAGATGAGAAAGAACATGAGAAGTATAATAACAATACAGTTTACACACTTAGTTTATGCAGAATCAGAACTCTAAATGAAATCCAATCATATCTGTCCTCTGGCATAAAACTGAGTATCACTGCCTCTTTTCTAAGGTTCAGAAATAGGGGTTCTGGCATGAAGGCAGGTCAGATTAAAAGCTTGAATAATATTGACATATTCTCTGGTAACAGAGTCATAAACATTGAACTAAAAAGAATCTCAGAAGTTAACTACTTCAATCCTTTTATAATATAGATAAGGAAGACAAGGCAAATACAATTAAATCACTCCTTGAAGGCAGTAGATAATACACATCAGAAGAGAGACTTGAATACAGGTTTTCTGACTGCAGATTGAATGTGTTTCAGACTATTCCAGGCTGCCACACTGAAGAAACCAAGATGGCTAGAGGGATAGCATGCTTGGGGTACAGAACAGAACCTTACTAAATTTAGTGCTTATAATATTTTGTTTTGTTCTTTCTTATTGCTCTTATTTAAGAAATATGAATCCTCTACACATGTCCATGCCTTCAAGTAGAAGTATTCTCCTACTAATCCATGATTTTATTTATTTCTTACATGGAACATATTTACCAGGGTCATGTCTCAGCTCAAGCTAAAACTCAAATTTATCCAATATAATAATGTGTGTATGTATATGTGTGTGCATATAAATGTATATAAACACACACATGCACAAATATATGTATAAATGCATGTATATAAATGTTAATTAACATATGTTAATATGTTTCTCTGTTTAATTTAATGTTCAATTCTTTGTATGACAGATATTCCATTGAGAATGAACAGATCAAGAGTTCACACTAAAATATGAAATAAAGATAAATGCTTAATAAATTTAATGTTATTCTCTTGTTACCACAGATGATTGAATCTCTAAATATGGTATTTTAACATCAGCCAGTGAAAGAAATATTTGGTAGTAGGAAGTGTCCCTGAATTCATATCATAATGGTGATCTACTCCTTCAAATATACATTTATTAATCACCTGTTATGTTCACTATATAAGGAGATACACAAGACAAGACCCTTGCTGTCAAAACACTTAGAATCTTGGAACAGACATGGGATACATATATGAAAAGATCCCTGAAGGGAGCAGAAGGCATGTGTGTGTATGTGTATATGTGTATATATGTATATTTATATGTGTATATTGTGTATGTATATGTGTGTATATGTATAGGCATATCTGTGTATCTATATGTGCATGTATATATGTGTGTGCACTCACATATATATCTATACATACACATGGTATCATGAAAAATATACAAAATATTATAAGTTCTTTAAATTTAGTAGAGTTCAATCATGCTATCCCTCTAGCCATCTTGGATTCTTCAGTGTGGCAGCCTGGAATAGTCTGAAACACATTAAATTTGTAGGCAGAAAACCTGCATTCAAGTCTCTCTTCTGATGTTTATTATCTATTGCCTTCAAGGAGTGATTTAACTGTATTGTGCCTTGGCTTCCTTATCTATATTATAAAAGGATTGAAGTAGTTAACTTCTGAGATCCTTTTCAGTTCAATGTTTACGATTCTGTTACCAGAGAACATGTCAATATCATTTAAGCTTTTAACCTGACCCTCCTTCATCCTAGAACCCCTATTTCTGAATCTTAGAAAAGAGGCAGGGGCAGCTAGGTGGTGCAGTGAATAGAGCTCTGTCCTTGGAGTCAGGAGGACCTGAGTTCAAATTCAGCCTCAGACACTTAACATTTACTAGTTGTGTGACCCTGGGCAAGTTACTTAACCCCAATTGCCTCACAAAAAAAAAAAAGAGGCAGTGATATTCAGCTTTATGACAGAAGCCAGATATAATTGGATTTCATTTAGAGTACTGATTCTAGAATAAACTAAGTGTGTAAACTATCTATCTATCCATCTATCTATCTAATCTATCTATCTATCTATCTCTCTCTCTATGTATACTAGTTAACCAATTCCTGGTATAATTTTCATATATATATAAACTATTTATATATATTAATATACATATATATAATATATAATATATTATTATATATTATATATATTAGTGTATTTATATATATTAGTATATATATTTATATATATACTAATTAACAAATTTCTGGTATAATTTTCATGATCTAGTATTTCAAGGATAAGAGAAATGTCTGCTGGCAAAAGTGATCTGGAAATCTCATACAGAGGAAAGAGTAAAGTTGAGAAAGCTTGAGAGAATGAGGAGATTCTGATAATCAGAGATTTTTGGGGAAAATTTTCCAGGCAGGAAGAAGAATATGAGCAAAGCTTAAAAAGACTAAAAAAGACAAGGCACATAAGACCAGTACTAGTTCAGGAAATTAATAATATATGCTATTTTTTTCTCTTTCATATCTTATATGAAAGCTATGACTTCTGCTATCAGGAGAGAAACATCTTTGAAAATAAAAATGTTAGCTGTGGAATGGTGTTACTGATGCTATTTATGAGATTTAAGGTAATTTTAAAAGTTTTATTGAATGACATTTCTTAGATCCATGTTTTCATCCAAATGTCAAAGAAACATAGTCATAAAACTTTAGTACATTCCCTGACACATAGTAAATATATAACCAAAATTTATTTTGGCCTTATGATAGAGAATATAAAATGTTAACATTTAGAAGTGACCCTGAAGAAAAGAATATTAAATGCTAGCTATAGAAGGGAAACCTAAACCAAAAATTATAAAAGCTAAGAGTGATATAGAAGACCATCTAATCAACAACCTATCTCTCCCTTTTTATTTTTCTGAGATGAAAACTGAGGCCTAGGGAAGGAAAGTTATTTGCTGATCATGAGTTCAATATTTCCACAGGCAGAAGAAACTGACAAAATGGAAAGAAGCAATGTTACATTTGTGGTGGAATTCATTCTCCTAGGATTTTCTGACCTTCCCAACCTCCAAAGGCTTCTATTTGGAATTTTCCTAGTCATCTATATGAGTATACTTATAGGAAATGGCCTCCTCATTGTCATAAGTAAGACTGATCCTGTTCTCCAAACCCCCATGTACTTTTTCCTTGGGAACTTTTCCTTCTTGGAAATCTGTTACACATCAGTCACTCTCCCTAGAATGCTCATAGACCTTTGGACTCAGAAGAGAAATATTTCATTCCTGTCTTGTGCTCTACAAACTTGCTTCCTTTATATTCTGGGAGCTGCAGAATGCTTGCTTCTGGCTGTGATGGCGTATGATCGTTATGTGGCCATTTGTAAGCCTCTTTACTATCCTCTCATCATGAATCACAGAGTGTGTGTCCAGTTGGTGATCGCCTCCTGGATCACTGGGATGCCAGTCCTGATAGGACTCACATATCAGATTTTCTCTCTGAACTTCTGTGGTTCTAACAAACTCAATCATATTTTCTGTGAAGCTCCCCCATTACTGGCGGTGGCCTGTGGGCACACGTATCAGAAAGAGCTCTCTGTCCATGTTGCTGCTCTGCTTTTTGTCATGATTCCCTTTCTGCTGATACTCATGTCCTATGTCAAAATCATCACCACCATCCTGAAGTTGCCATCAAACTCAGGGAAATCTAAAGCCTTCTCTACCTGTTCTTCACACCTCATGGTTGTAGGCTTATTCTATGGGTCTGGTAGCATTGTGTATTTGCGACCCAAATCCAGTCATTCAGCCAAATCAGACAAAGTCTTCTCCCTTTTCTATACTATTGTGACTCCAGTGTTTAACCCCATGATATACAGCCTGAGGAATAAGGATGTAATTCTTGCACTGAGAAAACTCCTCAAAAAATGATAGGAATTTATGAAGCAAATGGTCAAATCTTTATACATATACATATATGTATAATGTAAAAATGTATATGTATTTCCTCTCCATTTGTCCTAATGGTGCTAAAGAAATAGATTTCTGTTCTTTTGTAAGACATCTACAACATACTTAAAACAAAGTATGAGAGATTATATTTAAAGATACTCAAAACCTGCCTAAAATTTCCAATTTATTTTGCTAGACCTTGGCTGGGTTTATGAAACTGTCCCTTATCTCAAGAGGTGATTACTATCAACAGAAACGTTGAGTGTAATCTTACTATATTTTGTTCTATTGTTCTAACAGCATTCAAATTTATTTCTTTTCCTCCTAATTTACTGGTTTAAATATTGGCCACTTTATATATGTATGTGCGCATGTTCAATTTGATTCATATTTCTAAGTACTTACTATGTGCCAACAATTGTGCTAAAGTGCTGGTGATACAGACAAGAAAGAGGAAAACAGTCTCTGTCCTCAAGGAGTTTACAGTCTAATAGAGGAAGAAAACATATAAAAGGAAGCTGAAGTTGGGTTGATGGTGGGCACCAAGGACCACCCAGTGCTGGGAGCATGATATTCCGTGGGGTCCAAGACAAGCAGAGCTGCTCTTAGGGAAAGTGGAGAAAAGAAGGGAGAAAGAGAATCTCTGAATCTCTGAAATCCCTTAGCCTCATACAACATGTACCCCAAGGGTTAATATTTCTTCCACGAGCCAAATGATGACAGTCAAGCTAGCTGCCCTTCTCTGCCACCAAACTCTGCAATTATAGTATATTATATTATAATATGAAGCTCTTGCCTAAACCTAGAGTAAGCCATAGGCCCTCACTACAGGGACGCTCCTAAGAGGGAGACAGGGTCACAAGGCTGAGAAGGTGATGGGACGTGGATCCCAAAAGGAAAATATTGTGTCTCTGGAAGCAACCCAGTGTCTCAGTGGTCTCCTGTGAGAAATTATTTCTTTGTTGTGGTACTTACAGACCTGACCCTATAATTCCTCAGATAAAAGCTATCAGCACAGACACAGGGGTGCTTGTCCAAGGACTCTGTCTCTAGCACCTGGTATCTCATAATGAAAAAAATAATAATAATAACAAAAATCATGATAATGATAATGAAACATCCACAAACTACCACCACCACTACCACTACCACTAGTATTAACACTAAAATAATAATGATGATGATATTGTTATTATTATTATTATTGGCTAGGGACAGGCCTATGATTTCGTTGATAAGGGGAAATCTCAGATGAGAAAACTTCCTCTACTAAAGCAATATTCTAACTTTCTTATGGACCTCACTGAACAGTAGGCATGGACTGATTTGACTACACAATCTGGCTTTAACCACCCCATAGGAGTGTCAGACCTAACATCACAAATATGCCTCACTAGAACAGCAGGCATGTCTCTGTGATGGAATCATAGTCACTGCCTCAAGCTAGCCACTGTCCTCAAACTCAATTCTTTGATTTCTCACAGAATCAGCAAGAGTGTCCATGAACTCATATTTCTCACAAAAACAGCAAGAGTGTACATGCACTCAACCACAACCACAACCGTCTAATCTCGGACAGGACCACAATAGCCAGTCAATCAGAAAGCAGTACCACCAGGATGCGCAAGCAGGATGTGGACCCCAAAACAATAAAAGGGAATAGCGAAAGCTGTCCTTTAGGTGAAATTGAGACAGAGAGGCTTATTATAATATCATTATCATACATACATGTCCCCCAGAAAGGGTTTTTCTGTATGCATTTTGGAAAATTGCATACACAGTTCCATGAAGCCTGGGACTCCTCCCCTATTACCTAATTCTTTGATAAACCCCTCTTGCTTTTTTAATAGTCATATATTCTGTTATGTAATTGCATCTTTTGCCTATAAAATCTCCATCTTCCTCTGATAAGTTGCTTGTCCCTCTTGGAACCCAGCCCTCTTCATGAAAGGCATCACTCTCAGTAAATGCTTATACTTGGATTGCAGATGGTCTGAGTCTGTAAATTCTTTCAAAATGACCCCACAACACAGCATAAAACTGTGACAATTCTTTGTGATGCTGTCTGAGTGAACCCAAAATTCTCCTTGCTGTGTCAGCAACCACAAGGCCAGATGAAGTAGACCAGGATTATTCTCCTGTTTATGACTGATAAGGAACAGGTATCTTGAACTGGACATTATCTTGATTAATTGCATTTCTCTCATCTTGTTGTTTTATGGACACTATCCTGTTATGATACTTTTTTATTTATGACATCCCTTTATTTATGGCTGACAAAGACCAGATACCCTGGGGTTGCTCTCTTGTTCTATGGAATCTATAATTTTGACTGACAGGCATCCTGAGTCAGGGGAGGAGGAAACACTTCCTTTCTGTATGAGTATATAGTCTCCTTCAGCTTCTCTTTCTTTGATCTCATTTCCAAATGAACTCCCGTGCATGCACAGCATGCACATCTGCCCACTTCAAGAGAAATATATACGTGCATACAGCCTAACTTTGTCTTTTTTAGAATGAACTTTTTGAAACTGACCAAATGCAGCCTCAGACATTTACAACTGTGTGATCCTGGGTAAGTTGCTTAACCCTGTTTGCCTCAGTTTCCTCATCTATAAAATGAGCTAGAGGAGGAAATGATAAACTACTCTGGTATCTTTTTTCCAAGAGAACCCAAAATGGGGTCACAATGATTCAGACATGAGTGAAATGATCCAGCAACAACAAGAAAAACAGCAAAGAAGCTCTGGTGGATCAACACTCACCCAAACCTATGAAATGCTTAGTGACACTTAATAAGTTTAGATGGATGTGGTTATGGTTGAGTGCATGTACACACCTGCTGTTTCTGTGAGAAATGACTTCATGGACACGCTTGCTGTTTCTGTGAGAAATGTAAGAATTGAGTCTGGGGATAGTGGCTAGATTGAGGCAGTGGCTAGGATTCAACTCAGCTCTGGCCAGCAACCTAGAGAGGTTTGCTGCAAATATAATTAGTGGTTTGTTACATTTCAAAATTTCATTGACAGTAAATGCTACAAGCATGTGAGATAACCTTTAGCTATATAGAAAATCCAGTCATTCAATATTTATTAAGTACCTACTATGTGCCAGGGGCACCTAGGTGGCACAAAGGATAGAACACTGGACTTGGAATCAGGACGACTCATCTTCCTGGGTTCAAATCCAGTCTTAGTAGCTATGTAACCTTGGGCAAGACACTTAACTCTGTTTGCTTCAATTCTTCACATGTAAAATGAGCTGAAGGAGGAAACGGTAATCCATTATGGTATCTTTGTCAAGAAAACAGCAAAAATGAGGATTCATAAAGAGTTGCACATGACCGAAATGACTAAACAACATTTATTAGACACAATGCTAAGCACTGCGGATACCAAAAGAATCAAAAGGCAGTTCTTATCTTCAAGGAGCTTACAATATAATGGGAAAGACAACATGAAAACAAATACAAAGTAAGCTATATATAGGATAATATAATAGGATAAGTAAGAAATAATCAGCTGAGGAAAGGCACTGGAATTAAGAGGGATTAGGGAAAAGTTCTATTAAAAGAAGGGTACTTAGTTAGAACTTAAAGGAAGTTAGAAATCTAATTTGAAAAATGCAGGATTTGCAGTGACTTGGGTCAAATTCTATAAAAGAAGGAGCATTGGAAAAATCAATAGAAGAAAGGCCTCAAATTCACTAAGCTTGACATGTTCTGCCTTTAGCAGTGGCTATGTGACCCTGGAAAATTGACTTCAACTTTCAGTTTTATAGGGAACTATTAAATAATGAAATTTGGAGAGTAGGTACCATACAACTTTGGTAGAGGCCATTTCTGCCTATGGGACCACACTGCATCAATGAAATCATAGATCCAGGCCTTATCCAATAGATAGGCAAAGAGTTTAGAATATGATGTACAACAAAGTAAAGGAAATAGAAATGTACCCAGTAAGTTATCAAAATATTAATTCTGAGAATCATCAGTTGAGTAAATGCCTTTAATAAAGAATTGACCCACTGAACTGGATTATTGTTAAATTAAACATACCACTGGGAGCTCATCAGATAGTATTAGGAGAATAATCACCCTCAGTGTTACCCTTAGAGTTCAAAAAGCAATAGCAACCACTCCTCTGGGGATACAACCCACCACTATGAGTGGAGGAATGTGTGGCTGATCCACAGACACTTGTTACAGAAGTATGGAGTGGTTATGTTTCAAAATTTCAGTTCCAAAACAGGAAATAACAGAAGCAGCTAAGAGATATACTTTCCCCTCCACTCTGATAAAAAACTATTAATCAGCACAGGTTCAAGCACAGATCCCTAATGTATTTCCCTAGGGAATTTCTGCCACAACAGGGAAGAATTAATAGCTCCTCTTTGAGTAGAATCATCCAAGTAGTTCTGTACCAATCTTATTGTGTTATTGTATAATTCATATTTCCTGCAATGGAGTAATAGTATTGTATGTCTTATCAAAAGTTTTATAAAATCAAATTAACTTATATTAACAGTAATTCCTTCATCAACTAATTAAACATTCCTATCACATAAAGAACTTAGTTTAAGTTGGTATCATTCATGTAATCATTGCATCTCCTTTTAGATACCTACTAGCTATCACTTATGTGACTCATTCTAGACTTTTCACAGGAATAATAGTTAAGTTCACTTGCCTATAGATAGTAGAGTGTTTTCTTTATTTTAAAATTTTAATTTAATTTTTAAAGGGCCAGTATTTGATTGATCGATTGTTTTTTTTTTCTTTTTATGATACCTCCTCCACCTTCAATGATCTTTGAAATAGTTCTGGAGGAGAAAATGAAACTGGCGACTTTGCACAGCCCTCCGTCACTCAAACCCAATTCAATTCAAGTCATGTCATCATCTCCCTGATGTCATGGTTCTCTTCAAAAATGAAAGATAGGGGCAGCTAGGTGGTGCAGTGGTTAGAACACTAGACCTGG